TGTCGTCTGCAGGAAACAGGTCAAACTAAAAACAGCAAGAAACACTTCACTACTTTACCCCTCATGAGACACCAAGGTCAAAATTCAAAAACAAAGACCTTGTATAGACACTTGAAATGAAACCAACTTATACTCAATTTACACTGCATCTAAAGGAACAACAGCATTCCCAGGTGAGAAAGAATCAGTACAAGAACTCTGACAATTCAAAAAGCCAGAGTGTACCCTTACCTCCAAACAAGCCTCCTAGCTCCCCACCAATGGTTTTTAATCAGTCTAAGATAACTGAAATGACAGGCATGAAATTCAGAATCTGGGTTGCAAGGAAGCTCATTGAGATCCAGGAGAAACTTGAAACCCAATCCAAGGGAGCCAAGCAATCAGTACAATATTTCAAGAGCTGAAAGATGAAATTTCCCTTTTAAGAAAGGCCAATACTTAACCTTTTTGAGCTGAAAAATTTACTATGATAATTTCATAACACAGTTGCTAGTGTTAAGAGCAGAATAGACCAAGCTAAGAAAATAATTTCACAACTCAAAGACTAGTTCTTTGAATCAACTCACTCACACAAAAATAAAGAAAAAATAATTTTTAAAAATGAACAAAAGCCTGAAGAAATATAGGATTATGTAATGAGGCCAAATCTATGACATATTGTCACAACTTTCAGATGTGCCATTATTTGCCAGATAAGGCCTAGGGACATGTGGAATTAGCCTCCTAACTGTGCAAAGAAGGTTATAGGAAAAGAGATTTTATATATATAAAAAAAAGGATCTTGAATGGTAAATTCTTGTCCTAAAATAAAGTGATGGTTGTTTAAAAAAAAAAGGATATTTAGGACAAATCAAAAATCTACATGTATCATAGATGATCAGTGTAAGTGGTGAAAGGATTTCTGAAAGGGAATTTATGCAGGAAATGTACAATTTAAAGGTTATGAGGCCTCCTAAATGTTTCATAAAATGCTGCTATGACTCTCAACTGTACAACCTACCTGCTTCACAACTAGATAAGGCCTGGGAACATGTGGAGTTAGCCACACCCCCTAGCTATGCTGGAAAGTCAGATCTTATTCACACTTTTGACTGGCATCATCGGCTCTACACTTGGTACATAATTAAAATCACTTACTAACCATGTTTTTCACCAAAAGTAAAAGTTGCTAAGAGTTTACAGTGTAACATATATGTGAAACTACTGAAGAAGCCATTTTACAAACAAGGCACGTAAGGAAAGCAGAATGTACTTTTAGTAAAAGATCATATAAAGGTGGCCAGGTGTGGTGTCTCACGCCTGTAGACCCAGCACTTTCAGAGGCCAAGGCAGGTGGATCACAAGGTCAGGAATTCAAGACCAGCCTGGCTAGCATGATGAAACCGTGTCTGTACTAAAAATACAAAAAGTAGCCAGGTGTGGTGGTGCACACCTGTAGTCCCAGCTACTTGGGAGGCTAAGGCAGGACAAACGCTTGAACCCGGGAGGCAGAGATTGCAGTGAGGCAAGATCGTGCCACTGCACTCCAGCCCGGGAGACAGAGAGAGAAAAAGACACAAAAAAAAAAAAAAAAAAAAAAAAAAAAAAAAAAAAAAAAAAAAAAAAAAAAAAAAAAAAGAAGAAAAGAAAAGAAAAAAGAAAAAAATCTAAAGGTTTAAACAAGTTGTGGAAGGTTTATTAAAAAATTAATGTGTGTAAATATATTGGGTAAAGTTAAAGGGATATTATTCAGTTTTTCCATAAACTGAACATAGGAACAAAAGCATGACAGAGGTTTTTTTACAACATTGTTCTGCTATTTAACAACAACAACAAGAAATTCTAAAGGGCTCTGAAAGGTTTATGAAAATATTACCTTATCATCAAACTAATTAAAACTGGATAGATATATAAATTATTATTAAAAACTAACTTCAGCATTAAAGATGCACTAATGAAAGCATAAAACTTGGTTTTCTATTTTGAAAATATTTTTATGTAATATTAAAGATAATAAAAGGGTTTTGTTTGTCTTTTAAGTAAACTACAAAAATAAAATGTGGAAGGAGAGAAAAGAGATAGATTCAGTTGGTCTCGTGCTATCTTCATTGAATCTTGTTGTTTGGAAAGCTGAGTCTCCTCTCATTCAGAGTAAAAAGTTTTGTTTTTCTGTGTTTTTGTTTTTGTTTAATTTACGAGTTATCAATTTGGCTACATGAATGACTTATGGTGACCTAGGATTCTATTTTGTGAAATCAAGTATTTCAAACACAGGAAATGTTATCAAATATAAAATGATGTTTAATTTTCTATGAGTTATATTTTTATAAGTAATTAGTATGTGTTACAAAATTGTAGAAGATTTCTATAATTCTGATATGCCTCTGTATATTTTATCAGTAATAATTATAATTGTTATGTTAAATTATTGTGTGCCACAGAAATAACAAATTTCCTTGTCAATTATGTTTTTAACTGTCACTGACTTAAAATGTTCTTTTCATCCACAGAAAATTATAAACTTTTTGTTTTGTTTGGTCATCTTTAGAAGATGATTTTATAATTAGCTATAAAACATTGACAGGTGCTCTTGAATGCCAATTTCTTATATAATTTTGGAGATTGTGACATTATAATAAAGGAAATAAACTCTCATGACTCTCATGAAGAGTTAAATGTTCGTGAATATCAAGCAGAACAGGAGATAACTGAATGGACTGAGCTAATAGAAAACTAAAGCAATCTTTTCCTTTATTTTATTTTATTTTTTTGCTAAAAAATTTGCTGATTCTTTTTGTTTTTTCAGAGCCAAGGAAACTTATTTTCTGAGCTACTTATAGATTTTAACAACTGAGTAAACTATACTGCTATGAAGAAAATCCGAAGCATATTTGTTTATCTGATTTCCTCATAATTAGGAAACTATGTGAGTATTCTTAAATTATGGCAATAGAGTTATTTGCATACAAGCAATTAGAATGTTTTCTTTCACAACAGAATGCAATTGGAGAAACTGCTTATTTTACCAAGAATGGTGTATTTTCTTTTAAGGAATCAAACTTGATTAATAGAGCAAATAAAACCCATTGGGAAAACTGGCCTAGTACCTTGTCTATGTGGTTTCTGTATAGGGTTCCTGACCTGTGTTAAGAATGTCCCGTTCTAACAGGCCCAGGAGCCTCAAGTTATCTTGCTACCTCAAGTGGAGAGAAATTTTTACCCACCTCATAGGTATTTGAGGATGCAAACCCATGGCTGGACATGGCTTGTTAAAAAGTCTTATCTGAGATTCTTTATGCAACAGAGTTCCATCAAAGCCAATTTAAAAGGCCTATGTGAAAAATAATTATTCTTGCTGCACTCTATGCAAATAATCATGCCAAGTACAATAAAACTAAAGTTTATTTTGCAAACAAAACGGTACTATAATGATTTGCTTTTAGTGAAAAATAAGGACTGGGAAAAAATTGTTTCAATAATTATAGTACACCCGTTGTTAGTTGTTTTTGAGTCTTTATTTTATTTATTTATTTATTTTTACTGTACAAGTCAGACTAAATATTTTTGGTTGGCTACAAGTTCTCAAACAAATGTTTTAAATCTTTACTTTTAAAACTGGAAATTTATACTCGTTATCCTAAAAACTCAGCATTTGTAGTACATTGTCCACTTAAATGCTGTACTAAAACTGTACTAACACCTTTGTCATGAAAGCCTTGGAGCCCCAGCCTGGTCTGTGTGAATAAGCTCAGACAGCTGCAAAGCAGTTCCACTCCTCTCACCGTGGAGTCAACCCCCAGTCCCAATATGCACCCTATTGGCAGGAAGAAGCCAGAAGGATTAATGGCCTTTCTCATCTTCATTGCCCACACCTTAAGAAAAAGGTGTGATAGAACGAAAAGGTAGGAATTGAGAACACCTTTAAAAAAATTATAACTGAGGAAATTATGACAGTGATAGAGATCAGACCTAATCAACTCCATCTTGTTTCTAACCTTTAAGCCGTTCTTGTTTATTCTTGGGCATAGGCCAAACTAATTTGGGAAAGAATTCAGTTTGTGGTTTGACTCTAAAACAAAATTGATAATAGCTCTTTCCTGAAAATCTCCCCTTCTTGCCTGGGGACCAGTCTGCCTTTGCAAGAGTTACAAATTTAGCTACAAGGTTAGAAATTACGCTTTAGGGGTCATTCAGCTTTTGGCTACAAGAGTCTGAACCTTCCCAAATTGCCCCTGGGAATAACATTACTACTGTAGAACCTACGATCATTGCTTGAGGTATTTTACAGACCCTGCACTCGATGGATCAGCTGACAACACCCAGACTGGTAATCTGACCCAACCAGTTCCACAGTCCCACTCAGGAACAGAACACGGTAAGAAAACTTCAGACCTCTATGATTCCATCTTCAACCTGACCAATCAGCACTTCCCACTTCTTAACACATCAAATTATCTTTAAAATCTTGGTCTCTGAATGCTCAGGAAGACTGATTTGAGTAGTAATAAAACTCTGGTTTCCTACGAAGCTGATCCGGCATGAATTATCCTTTCTTCACTGCAATTTCTCTGTCTTGATAAATCAGCTCTGTCTAGGCAGCCAGCAGTGTGAACCTCTTGGGTGGTTACGATTCCAGCTAGTTTGGGGGCAAAGGTGAAGAATCACTTTAGCCTGTGAGGTCAAAGCTACAGTGAGCTGTGTTTGTGTCACTGCACTCCACCCTGGGTGACAAAGAGATACCCTGTCAAAAAAATTTAAAAAAAAGAGGAAGAAAAAAAGAAAGAACAAATGAAATAGAAAATTTTTATAAAGATTAAATATATCAATCATATATCTTAATATAAATAAAATAAGATATTAGTATAAATAATTACTTCAGATATGATGATCCAAATCTAATAACTAAAAATAGAAATTGTCAGAGTGGGGAAAGGACACTTTTAATTTAAAGACACAGATAATTTAAAAATAAAGAGGTAAAGAAAGGTATATGGTGTTAACATTTATCAAAACAAAATGTGTTACCAAAAGTTAATGTTTTGAGGAAATGTTTTTTACCAGCTTGGGCTGTTTGGGATAATAACATTGACTAAGTTCCATGGTGGGTTATCACATATATATGTATATATATAATTCACTACTATTTTGTACTCTACATTACGTAAGTGTTAAAAAAGTATGAGTAGCTATATTATTTTCTGAAAAGGCTGTTTTCAGAGAAAATAAAATGATCATAAATAAAGAGACATCTTTAAACGGTAAAGGGTCAATTCCCTAAGAGATTATAACAATCCAAATCATGTACACATCTAAAAAATAGAGGATATGAGGCAAAAACTGATTGCGCTACAAGGATACACAGACAAATCTATTATAGTTGGAGGCATCAACAACTCAATGTAAGTAATTGACAGATTAAGCAGGTAAAATATCAGTAAGAATAAAAATGGCCTGAACATCACTTCAATCAATTTGATCACTTAGCAGTTATGGAATTGTCCATATGAAAAGAGCGGAATACATATTCTTCAGAAGCCCTCATGAAATATTTTAAAAATACCACATTTTTGCGCTATAAAAAGCCACTTAACAAATTTAAAAAAATATGTATCAAATACAAAATAAAGTATGTTCTCAGACCCCAATAAATATGAATCAATTTTTAAAATTTGAATTTAAAAATATTAACCTATTTTAAAGTAACTCACAGTTCAAAAAATTAAATATAAATTTAAAAATCACTTTACCTACATGAAAACAAAAATACAATCAGAATTTACCCATACTTAATGGAAAATTTATAGCATTAAATTATGTATTTGCCAGAGCAATCAAGCAGGAGAAATTAATAAATGACATTCATTTAGGAAGAGAAAAAGTCAAATTATTCCTGTTTGCAGACAACATAATCCGGTATCTAGAAAACCCCATAGTCTCAATCCCAAAGTTCCTTCAGCTGATAAAAAACTTTAGCAAAGTTTCAGGATACAAAATAAATGTACAAAAATCACTAGCATTTCCACATACAGACAACAGCCAAACAGAGCAACAAATCAGAAAGGTAATCTCATTTGCAATTGCCACAAAAAGAATAAAATACCTAAGTATACAGCTAACCAGGAAGGTGAAAATTCTCTACAATTAAAATCACAAAACTGCTCAAAGAAATCAGAGAAGACACAAACAAATGAAAAAATATCCCATGCTCAGGAATAGGAAGAATCAATATAATTAAAATGGACATACCGCCTGCCCAAAGCAATTTACAGATTCAACACTATTCTTATCCAATTACCAACAAAATTCTTCACAGAACTACAAAACACTATTTTAAAATTCATATGGAACCAAAAAAGAACTTGAATAGCCAATACCACACTAAGCAAAAAGAACAAAACTGGAGGCATGACACTACCTTACCTCAAACTATATTACAGGGTTACAGTAAGCAAAAAAGCATGGCATTAGTACAAAGAATGCACGTAAATGAATGGGACAAAGTAGAGCGTCCAGAAATAAGGCTGCACACCTGTGACTACCTGATCATTGACAAAGCTCACAAAAACAAATAATGTGGAATAGACTCCCTACTCAATAAACGGTGCTGGGATAACTGACTAGCCATATGCAGAAGATTGCAGCTAGACTCCTTTTTTTACACCATATACCAAAATAAATTAAGTATGGACTAAATGCTTAAAACTAAAACCAAAATCTATAAACACTCGAAGACAAGCTAGGTAACACAATCCTGAACATAGGAATAGGCAAAGATTTTAGGACAGACACTAAAAGCAATCAAAACAAAAGCAAATATTGACAAATTAGATCTAACCAAACTTAAGAGCTTCTGTACAGCAAAATAAACTACAACAAGATAAAGAGACAACCTACAGAATGGAAGAATATATTTGCTAACTATGTATCTGACAAAGGTCTAATATCCAGCATCTATGAGTAATTCAAACAAATTTATAAAAAAAAACCCAACTCCATTAAAAAGTGGGCAAAGGACATAAAGAGACACATTTCAAAAGAAGACATGCCTGCAGCCAACAAGCACATGGCAAAAAGCTCAATATTACAGAAATGTTTATCAAAACCACAATGAGACACCATCTCACACCAGTCAGAATGGCTATTAAAAAAGAGTCAAAAAATAGCAAATGATGCCAAGGTTGTGGAGAAAAGGGAGCATTTATACAATGTTGGTGAGCATTTCAGTTAGTACAGCCATTGTGGAAAATAGTGTGGGTACTCTTCAAAGAGCCATGAAAACAGAACTACTACTTTACCCAGTAACCTTGTTACTGGGTATATACCCAACTGAGTATAAGTAGTTATATTATAAAGGAACATGCACACATATGTTCATATAGCACTATTCACAATAGTTAAGACATGGAATCAATCTAAATACCTATCTGTGGAAAAACAAATAATGAAAATGTGATACATATACAATATGGAATACTATGCAGCCATAAAAAAGAAGATCATGACTTTTGTGGCAACATGGATGAAGCCGGAGTTTACTATTCTTAGCACACTAATGCAGGAACAGAAAACCTAATACCACATGTTCTCATTTATAAGTGGGAGCTAAATGATGAAGACTCATGAACACAAAGAAGAAAACAGACACTGGCATCTACATGAGGGTGGAGGTTATAAAGAGAGAGAGGAGAAGAAAAAAAAATAACTTTTGGGTACGAGACTTAATACTTGGGTGATGATGTAATCTGTACAACAAACTTCCGTGACATGAGTTTACCTAGATAACAAATCTTCACATGTACCAATGAACCTAAAATAAAAGTTAAAAATAAATTAAGAAATAAATTAATTTATGACAATAAAATACATTCTAGTGCATTAATATACCTCACTTTTTTCACTCATCAGTTTGTAGACATTGGAGCTGTTTTCCATTTTGAATTTGTTATGAATAACAATGCTGTAAGCACTGACATATATGTTCTTGTGGATGTATATTGTCATTTCTCATGAGTATATATTTAATGGAATTGCTGGCTCATAAGGCAAAAGTGTGTTAGGTTGGTGCAGAAGTAATTGTGGTTTTTGCCATTACTTTTAATGTAATAAAAAAGTAATGTTTGCAATTACATTTAATATTTAACATTTTGAGGAGCTTCACCATTTTATAATCCCACCAGCAATGTATGTGCATCCCAATTTGTCTATATCCCTACCAACACTTTTTGTTATCTGTCTTTTTTATTAGAACCATCCTAATGGCTGTGAAGATGTATGCTATCAGGACTTTCATTTACATTTCCCTAATGATTAATGATGCATAGAAACTATTTATGTATATATTAGCCATTTGTATATTTTCCTTGGAGAAATGTCTACTTACACCCTTCGCCCATATTTTAATGTGATTATTTTCATTTATATTCTTGAGTTGTAAAAATTTGTAATACATTCTGGATATATGTCATATATCTATTATCAAAGTTATGATTTGCAAATATCTTCTTACATTTTGAGGGCTGTTTTGCTCATGCCATAATTTTCAAAATAAAATATTTTAATCTTGATATAGTCCAATATATTTATTTTGTTTTTTTTGTCACAAGCTTTTTGCTGTTATGCCTAAAAAACCATTACCTATATCCAAGGTCAAGGAAGATTCGCTCATACATACCCTTCTAAGATTTTTATGTTTAAAAAAAGAGCTAAAGCTCTTACATTTACATCTTTGAAACATTTTTAGTTTTAGATTATAGTGTAAGAAAGGGGTCCAACCTTATTTATTTTGTGCATGGATATCCAGTTGTATCAGTACCATTTTTTGAAAAGACTGCTCCTTTCCCATTGTATAGTTTGCCACCCCTGTGGAAAATCAATTGACCACAAATCTGTGAGTTTATTTCTGGATTCTTAATTCTATTCCATTGATCTAATATATTGTCTTGATATCATTAACATACCGTCTTGATTAATGTAGTTTTATAATCAGTTTTGAAATCAAGAAGTTTGCAACTGAACTTTTATATTTCTTTTTCAAACTTGTTTTGCCTATTCTGAGTTATTTGTCTTTCCATAAGAATTTTTGGGTTATGTTACAATTTTTAGCAAGGAAACCAGCTGTTATTTTGATGTAATGTTTTGGCTTTGCAGATTAATTTGGGGAATATTGGTACTTCAATAATATAAAATAGTTTGATCCATAAATGTGGAATCCATTTTTGTTTACTAGCTCTAATTTGTTTCAATGTTATTTTGTATTTTTAAATGTACATGTCTAGCACTACTTTTGTTACATTAGGTTTTAATAATTTTATTTTTTAAACATATTTTATATGGATTTTATTCTAAAATTCATTTTAAATTATTAATTGATAACATATAAAATTACATTCGATGTTTATATGCATCTTGAATGGTGAAATGTTGCTAATTCATATGCTAGTTTTAAGTTTTTGTGTGTGGATTCCTGAGAAATGTTCATATAAAACTTCCTTTCATCTGCAAATAGAGATAATTTTTCTTCTTCCTTTTCACTCTGGCTTTTATTTCATTGTCTTATCTTTTGACTAGTATGTCTAGTAAAATATTACATAGAAGTGGTGACAATGAACATCTTGTCTTGCTCCTAATCTTTGAGCAAACACATTCAGTTTTTCACCACTCTGTATGATGGTGCATGTATGTATTTAGGGTATTTGAGAGAGGGAGAGGTAGAAGAAAATGGGAGAGTAAAAGAATTTAAGGACTTAGTTTACATGATTGTGGATGCTGGCAAATCCAAAATCCATGTGGGAGGCTTGCAGCCTCCATGGTAGACTTCAAATTTAAGAGTACTCTGCTGAGCATTTTTTCATATGTTTGTTGGCCTCACGTATGTCTTCTTTTGTAAAGTATCTGTTCATATCCTTTGCCCACTTTTGAATCGTTCTACTATAAGGACACATGCACACGAATGTTCATTGCAGCACTGTTTACAATAGCAAAGACCTGGAACCAACCCAAATGCCCATCGATGATAGACTGGATAGGGAAAATGTGGCACATATACACCATGGAATATTATGCAGCCATCAAAAACGATGAGTTAGGGTCCTTTGTAGGGACATGGATGAACCTGGAAACCATCATTCTCAGCAAACTGACAGAAGAGCAGAAGATCAAA